CATCACACACGATACTTGGTTCGCTCTTCTATGATATTTCTGTAATATTTCCAAAAGAAAACGCTAAACATCTATGAAATATTTAATAACTGTATTGGATCGAATGTGTATGTATGTGGATCGAAAGTGTATATAGGTGGTTCGAAAAGACCTGGACTTGGTTCGAAAAGACCTGGATCGAAAAGACTTTGGTTCGAAAAGACCGGTAACCGGTCTTCTTCGCATCTGCTTATAGGATCATCACGTTACGCTAGCGTGACAATACATGACAGACACATAAATGGGTGTGACGACCACCCTTTGTTTGTTGTGTGTGTAATTTTGTTATTTAGCATGATTCGTGTGCTCAGTTAGGACATACATGTAAGGGAGGTTAGTCCCTGCTTAGACTCGTGCTTGTGGGTGAGGTGGTACTTCTGAGCCCTACTAAAGAAAGAGATCAAGTGAAACTGAAATGAGTCTACCTACCATAGCCCCATCTTGCGGCAAGGTGCAGAGGTGTGTCTCCATTTTCATTTGCTACGTTAATCTTCAAAACATGCTGGTGCATATCGGCGTATATCAAAGATTTGCAGCACTGCATAAACACAACAAATAAGCATTACTAAGAAAGGGAAATAAAACGAATCAACAATATAAGTGGTCAAAACATGCAGTAACTTTCTTCCTTTCGACCTTTGCTTTACTCTGTATTGTAACAAAAATGGTACATGTAAAGGTGCTGACACACGGTGCAACATTGCATGCAACATTGCACGCAACAGGACTGATGCAGCGTGTCTACCCCAATCGTTTTGCATCCAACGTTGCATGCAACAAATCTGAAGTTGAATCGCGCTCTACTCTTGCAACATTGCGCGCAACAAATTTCATCATGTGAACATGGCTGTAACATTAACTGCAACATTTTGAAATTTCCAGCAAATAAGCTTGCACCAAATTTATGACTGCTGACCAAATATCTTAACAAAGCAGGCTGACACAAACGATGTTGCGTGATTTTGTTGCAAYGTGTGTCACCCCGATTCAAATTTGTTGCTTGCAATGTTGCATGCAATGTTGCGCCGCGTGTCAGCACCTTAGTAGTAAGCAACTCATCTATATCTCACTATACCACATCATACCTTGTAAAATACCCCCTTACCTAATTCTATACCTTGTAAACACCCACAGCCTATTATACAATATGACCCAACTCATCAAGACTTTACCATACCTCAGAACACATCACCTAATACCATGTTTTGTAAAACACCCATAGCCTACTGATACATTTCCACCCACCCAACAATACCAGTTTAGGGGTTTTATTCTATATTAATGCTTAATTTTATGAGCAATCTTACCGGCTCATGTCCATTGGCAGCACAAAGATGTAAAGCTGTGTTACCATCATTGTCAGGTGCATTGGCATCAGCCTTGTAGTGCAACAGAATGAGCTAGGACAATAAGGTAACAACACATTAGTATTCAAGTAACTACTCTACATGAAGATGATGATGGTGGTGGTGGTGGCGGTGATGGTAGTGGTGGTGGTGATGGTAGTGGTGGTGGTGATGGTAGTGGTGGTGGTGATGGTGGAGGTGGTGGTGGTTGTGGTGGTGTTTACGACACAGGATGTTTATGATGATGATGATGATGATGATGCTTATACTAGATCTTTGTCTAACAAACAATAACAAACAATATTGTTTGATATCTTACCACGACTTTACTGTGTCCTCTAAGGCAGGCCATGTGAAGGGGGGTACTACCATGGTAGTCCATAGCATTCACTACAGCACCCTTATGGATTAGTGAATAGATCAGGTTGGTATGGCCTTGTAAAATAAAAACAGTATATAATCATTTCCACATACTCTAAAAACATCATGTGTGGAGTGGATGACTTTGGAAGTTTTACCACTGGAGTCATTCTACCGTCAAAATAATAGACTTTATTTTGAGAGGAAGACATGTGAGTCGCAACTACCCACTTATAAACTTGGGATCCATATGTTTAATGTCTCTAAATAACCAAAGAAGATATAAGAGGTTAACCCTATCAAGAAGATCTCCTAAGATTGAATTGGAATTTAGAAGTTGGAGAACTGGAGAACCCAAAAAACCCTTGAAGTACAGGAGAGGACCAACTTTCTTAGAAACTTTACTCACATACAACACCAAGCCCTGTGGGACTTGAACCCAGGTCACATTGGCAAGAGATGATGCATTGGGAGCTTACGCCACCCATGCTTTCCATATTATAGTATTAGACACTTTGTTTTATCTATATCATTCATCGATAATTTTTAGTGTTTTGTTTCAAGCTTGCAAACACCACCCATGCTTCCCTTGATGGGACCACCATTTTACATGGTCATTCAAACCATTGTTTACAGCAAAGGTTTTACAGCTACTTCTACTAAGATATTTTGAGACAGTGTTGGTGTGGCCTTATAAACTTCCTTAACACAATCAGGAGGTAGCTCATGCAAATGGGACAAGTTTCTCTAAATACAGTCAACAATATTTTCTTTCTCTGCAGCTTCAATTTTCTTTCTTTCTTTAATACTTACAGCAGGTTTAAAGAAAGGCAGCCGAAGTCACAGCACACTTTAAGACATCTACATCTCTACCCACAAATGTCACACTGCATTCCTTTCTTCATGTGTTGGCATCCTTATAATTTTATTTCACCACACAATTTTCAAAATTATGCTGACACATTAAGAGAGGACTGCAGACTAAAAGTGTGATATTTGTGAACAGAGTCTTAGATGTTTGGAGCTGTGACCATGACATGCTTTTCTTGTCATAAAAACCCAGTTCTTTGACAACTGTAAGTAGTGTAAATTCTAATACAAAGTGCAACTCACCATATTCAGCAGCAACATGTAAGACTGTTCTCCCCATGTCATCTCTTGAGAACACAGTCACAGCTGATGGATCATTTCTCCTCCTGACAGTAAAAAAATTTTTTTCTTCAAGAGGGACTTTAAAAACCACCAATGTTCAACTTTTGAACTCAAGGGAATTTGTTATGCTTTTTTGCACCCATTAATATTTAACAAAAAAAACTAGAGGTAACAACTGACATTTCAAATTTGCTGACATCATTTTCAAAGTGAAACAGAAAGAGTTTGAATAATTTTAGAGTCAGTTCAGGTTTATGTAAGTTCTCATTCAACTCTGACTGACCAACTCTAAAATTATTCATTCAAACTTTTTCTGTTTTAATTTGATATTGATGTCAACGACATTGAAACTTCAGTTGTTATCGTTAGTTTTTATTGTTAAATATATAACAAAAGTTTCTTTAATCAATTGATCATAATGTGCCACTTACCTGGACAAAAGTTTCTCACACTTGTCACAAGAGCACAGCGGATGGCACATCTGATCCAGTCTGGCATTGTCATTCTCTTCATTTGCTAGTAACTTTTCAACTTCACTTTCATTGCCTTCAGCGGTGTACTACAAAGTATTCAAAAATCATTAGAACATACTATTTAAAAAATTTTTCCAAAAATGCTTAGATTCTTGGAAAAACACATTATAATGATAGTCATTTGGCTATTTATTTTAGCGAATTCACAATGATCAGGGTTACTATCATTCATACACTACCCTTACATTCAACATTCTTCACATACAGCTGCACATCTCTCAACTCCAACAAGGATTATCAATTTGAAGTGTGATAAAATGGGAGAGTTCAATGAATAACAACATTGCAGAGGAGAGAACAATATCTAAAAAACATACTGTCTTTACATCATCATTACCAGTTCAATCATATGGAAAACAACTTCAAGGTCCAAAACAAAAAGCACTTCTATGAAGATTTTTCTTAAAAATTGCTACTTGTATGAAAATCGCTCCAAAATTAAAACTCCTTCATTCGAGCTGAATAATCACTCACCAAAATATCTCTCTGATATTTGAAAGAAAAGTGCCAAAATTTTATTTTTAATTTTATTTCATGACAGAATTTACTCTCCAAAGTTCCCGTTGTTCAAAAAGGTGAAGGGTTAATATTATTATTAAGAACATGTTTTGCTTTATTTTAGTGCTTTTTGGTGGTACTAGTGAGCAGTTGGACCTGGAAATATGACACAACTTAAAAGCTCTACTCCATAGACATAAAAACACAATACAATTACTTTCTAATTAATGAAAATTTAGAAATGGCGATCAAGTTGTTTCATTCTTCTTATGTCTGTGCTTTTGCTTATGTCACTAAATTTCCCAGTGAGGATGTACACTCTTATACTAATCTCTTATGCTTGTGCTTATGTGCTAGGGAGGACTAGGCTTTACAAAGAGGGCTGCGAGATGGATGTGTACTGGGAAATAGGGCACAGATTCAACACACCTCAAACAGCATATCCAGGGCGTTGGGTTTAATGTTATCATGGTCCACTGGGTGCCATAGATATGGAGATCCATCAGCACCATTTTGTAACCTCTGTAACACAAACAATAAATATGGAATTTTTGTGAGACAATAACTACTGACAATGGCCCTTTTTACTAGCATGTATATGACAGCCATCTTAAATTATGGGATTCCCAGGAAGCAAACGTAGAAATATTTAGAAAGCGTAGAGTGGCGAAGTTACTGTTTCACAGGATTTTATTGGTGTTTTACATGCCGAGGAAGAGAGTAGATACTCTCAAAACATGTTGAATAAAATGTTTGTGAGAGTTTAAAATGTTGTATTGTCTCTAAAAAGTATATAGAACTCAGAACTTTCATACTTTTGTATTGCCCTCCAAACTGATTTGCACTGGGAATGTGCTATTTATTACTATCCAGTTGAAAACTTATAGATTCAGTTAGTTCTTGTGCCAAAACCATGTTTATGGGATCCCTGTGCTATGATAAGTGTCATAATACCTTGAATGGAACACCTCCTTTAAATTCACTGCTAACATAACCACTGCGTACATGTTCTACTGCTGCTTCCAGTGATGCAAGGTAAAACCTATAGTTATAACACAAATCATACGTATACGTTTTTTCATCTTTTCATGGTGTAAGATTTACCTTTTTATCATTACTGTTTCATTAGAAACACTGATGCAGCTCACACTCGTTTTTAGCTAGTTATCTCTTCTGATCTAAAACTGCTGTCTTTATAACAATGGGATAGATGCAAGAAATGGCTGCAATCCTGTAATTTGTAAGAAAATCTATCCATCCGTCATACACATACGTAGTTTAAAGTTCCCCAATTAAAAWATGTATAGCCCTTTCCATACACGTGATTTGCTGGCCAAATAGAATATGTCTGCTAAGGCTAAAGAAGGTGTGATAATCATGCAATAATTACAATGACTTTCATAATTATGTTATCAATACAGACCCAAACATCTGGGTTTTTGGCTTCTGTTGATCAAATTAAATTTCCAATACAGTAACTGGAGTTAGTATATTGTGGATCAATAGTAGCCAAAACTCCAGAAACCTCAAGTATTGCTTGTTCACAATATTATTATGAAATTGAATGCAAGTACACTTACAGTACACCCATTTTCATGATTATGAGACCCAGACAGCTACAGTAGCCATAATTGTAGTCGTCTGGGTTTTTAGCTTCCTTTAATCAACTTTCCAATGGTCTGAATTGGTATTTTTTAGATTGACAGAAGGCAAAAATCCAGGCACCTATGGCCAATTTTGTCGTGTAATTATGATAATGGTCGTAATACACCCATTTTGAGTTTGCCTTTGCTCAGTCTTAGCCTCGATTGTGCACAAATGTGTTCTTTTCATTTATTAAGGTCCATTCTATAGTAAGGGATGTACACACTACATAACAATACGAGTTGATTAAAAAGCTACAGGTTTTGGTTGAATAGCTGAATATTATAACGCACAAAAAGAACTTGAAACTGGAGTATTAACCAAGGGTAGAATGTATAGACATAGGCGTGAATGAAAGAATACCTTATATACATCTCATCATTTACTTACTGGAATTCATTATATCCACATTTGGAGAAGTGAAAGTTGTGAAGGAAAGCAATGTTAGCAAGCCTGAAACAAATCACTAATAATTATTGATGAATTATGATAGAGATAAAACAAAGTGTCTAATATTATAGTGGGAAGTACAGGTGGCATGCTCCGCTAATGTGTCACCTCTCACCAATGCGACCCGGGTTTGAGTCCTGTCAGACTCAGTGTGAAGAGGTTATTTGTTAATTCTTTCATGTGCTATGAGTTTTTATGTGATTGAATATGATTTAGGCAAAGTTAAAGTCACGGCATAGCTGCTGGCCAGCGGTTCACCAGTGAATGTGTGGGGTGCACGGAATGCTTTCTGCTAAGCATCACAGATTAAGCGTACATCGTCTTTGTTGCGTCAGAAAAGTGCACCCACCCCCCTCCTTGCAACAAACAGAAACTCATTAAGTATGGTTATTCCACTGAGTCTGAGTTAGTGTGACAGGTGTTAGGGGGTGATAGGACCGTGGTAGGTTACCATGGTTACCTCCTAGTCATGGGTGAACAGGCGTGTCTACCAATGGCGTCTCTGGGCACCTAACTCCAAGCTCATCTTATGCCGATGAGTTTAACTCCAGGTTAAATTACGATTTTTCTCCCTCACAAAAATCAATTTCTAAATTTTAATTCGATCTTAGGAGATATTCTCAATAGGGCTAACCTCCTACTGTATACCTCCTTTCACACTATAATGCAAATAAATTGGTTATATTATATTATACAAACATAATAGCTTAAGAGTACCCACCAGTTTGGAATGTCAGATTTGATGACAAGAAAAACCAAAGCAGGAAGGAGATCATCTGCTGTAGTTACATCTTTTGTTCCTTAAAGAAAAGGAAAGACACAAAGTGGTTTACTGATGGAGAAATAGGGGTACATTGGAACCATACTCTACTGATCATTTATTTAATGGAATCTAAAAACGGACTCTTGCAATAGGGAGGAATGCATCAGTGGAGGTCAAAAGAGAGAAAAGAAAAAGCATAAGCAATAATAAACTTCAAGTTGTCCTTCCACGTACCTGGTACTTTTTCTTTCATTTTTCTTTCAGTTATAATTGTAATAGACTTCTTCAAGCAATGGAACTTCTCTAATGGTGAAGTGAACTGCCATAGAAAAATATTATCATAGTTTCTCTTGATACACACATGACTTCAGCCATTACGAGGGGTTAATTAGGAAGAATAGTAAACCTGATAGTAAGAGGTGTTTTGAAAACCAACCATTATGATTATGAAATGATTGACAAGCTTCCAAATCCAAATGCATTTTCATATTTTGGTTTCTATCAGTTTGACTGTTTTTATGTATACACAGGGCTTATATTTAACAAATAAAACAGCTTTCTCTGTGCTCCATTCAGTAATAAAGCACGCTGGAAGTGAAGTAAGCATGGAGAAGTACAAGTCATAGGCGAGTGCTTCACACACTTCTTCAGTGCTTACAGCGCTTTCTAAGTGCTTTATTAATGAAGGGAGCATGATGCTTTATTCGTTTTATCATATACTGTAGCTACTAATTTTTTTTAGGTATTGAATTTATTTATCCAAAAAGAAAGACGGTCTCAGCACTGTGGCTTCAGCACTGTGCTCCGTTCACTAATAAAGCACAGTTTTCGACCAATCAGTGTGCACGCACTACCTAACTATATATAATAAATATATATATATACATAAAATATATAGCCGGTCAAAAGACAATGTCCAACCAGAATTGTCTTGCTAGTAGTTTGGACTGTTAACGTTGAACCATAAATGAGATGATGATAGTGACTGACCGGCCATCATTTCAATCCCTGATACATAAAATAACTTCCTACAAATATCAATATTAACATTACCTTGTTTAGAAAGGATAAAATTCTTCTGCCCCTAGGAAGATTTGTACTGAAATAATAACAATATGAGCTGTCAGCAAACAAAACTTTCCTGATATTCTTAAACTTAACCATCTTTAAACGATAAATTATCATATATAATCATAAAATCAATCTCACTCTTCCCCTGATAAAACTATCTTTGGCATACAAACCTGTGGCATTCATTCCATGATTGACTTGGAATATTAGCAGTCGATTAGTGGGGAAGAACCCACAGAAAAACCATTCAAGCACAGAACAGACCCAATAAGAAAGCCCCAATCACATACTTTACACTAACTAACTTACATGTGCAGTGATATAAATGTTCAGCCAAAATTGGAACTTATTTAGTCAAATCTTCACCTTGCCAGTTTTTTTGACTACTATTTAGTCTAGACAAATGTATGACTGAGATAAAACTAAATTTAGGTGGTCATCATGACCAGTGACTGAACAGATTTCAGCCCTGCAAATGAAGACCATTCCTATTATTGAACCCACATTATATTAGCATTGAGCACAACCAATGCTTCTTACATTTTTTTTATCCCAATCATTCCTTCTTCTACATTTCCCTTCACTTTACAATTATTTACCAAAATTCAGGCTTTATTCCAAGGTCTCTGATTTGAATCTCTGCTAAATTACGAGTTATTTTGTTCAGTGCTGCATCCTAAAATAAAATATTAACACAAAAAACATTAAATTTTGAAATTACGATGTCAGTTTTGACCAAAATCCCTTCAGATATAAATAACAATAAAACAGCTGCCATAATGGTTGATCAAACAAGAGAAGCTATTGTTTTGGTCAACCAACATGGCAATTGTTATCATCCACCAACATGATATTGATTTTGTCATCGTCAACCAACATGACATTAATTTTGTTATCGTCAACCAACATGGCATTTGTTAGTGTCAATCAACATGGCATTTGTTAGTGTCAATCAACATGGCATTTGTTAGTGTCAATCAACA